AAAGCTCTTGTGATAATTTTATCTGACAAGTTGTAATATCTGTCACATGCATCATCAATTTCTAATAAAAATGCTAAAACAAAAAACAAAACAGGTGAAACTAAATATTTTTGTCCGATTATGATTTATTGTTTTGAATCCAAAGTGATTTTAAGCTCTAAAGCTTTTAACTGAATGACTCGTTTTCCCTTTAACATCACAATTAACTGTCAACACGAATTTTCCGTGATATCAACGATCGTAGGTTTAACACCATCTTACTTTTCAGAACATTATCTTCATTGTTTGTTGCTGTTGTCATTTGTATAAATTAATGATTTCAAGCCCCAAGCAAGTCCTGTAGCAGTCTTATTACTCCTCCATGAAGTCCATTAGCATAGTATTTATGAACATGCAGCGCCAGATCCAGAATGCCGTTTGCTCGTTCTCATAGCCCAGAGGCATGATGAGAGTGGCACTACTGCACATATTAAGTGGGCGGCATGACGCGGAAGTAACCCGGAAGCCAGAAACTTTTCTGGCGTATGCGCCAGGTGAGCAACTTCTATAAAAATGAATGGGCGCCATTTTTGATCTGGTATCCAGTTTTAATAATACATCCATGGTGCATAGGCATTGAGGATAATCCTGGGATCCTTTACGAGTGATTAGCTATATCGAAAGTATACTTGTCAAGCTGTCCTTGACTCAGCTTCTACAATTCTGAGATTAGTTAGGATATTGCTCACATTATATATCACATTACATTTCATCATTTGGTACTAGGACTGGGCAATTAATCAAATTTATTTTTGATTATGATTTTGGCCTCCAATGATTAAAAAAACTAAATAATCAAAAGAAAACTATTATTATGCCACATTCTGTTTCACAACAGATTTCATCTCCCGTACAAAAACCATCCAACATTACTGGTTCTGCTCTCCTTACTGAAATTATGAAAATAGATTTGTTATTGCAACATACAAGTTCTCTTACACATTCACCAACTCCGTTTCTGATTAAGACATTGGTCTATGATGCATTTTCGCTGTTCCTATGCAGAAGTTCATCTGCATCTCTCTCTCTCTCTGACCCTGTGTATGAGGGGCGGGACAGCGCTCACACACACCTTGGAGCACTGTGCAGTACACACACACTGAGACCCTGCTCTTAGTGACAATGGAGAGAACTAAACGTTTTGAAGTGTGGTTTAGTCTATTTCATTTAAGGATGGAAACACGAGTGATCTCTGGACACATCCAGTGAAAGTCCATCACATTCAGAGAGAGTAATGTACAGTTGTCGACCAACTAGCTTGCAGCTCATCCGTCGCTCATCCCACACTCAGATAGCTTTAACTTATATCATGTATTACAGGAATAACTACATAGACACAACGCTTTTTGTTTTGTTTCAGTTTTTTTATTTTCTGTTCTTTTTTCCAAAGTCAGTAAGAAATCATGTTGAATAATCGTGATCTCAATATTGATCAAAATAATTGTGATTTTGATTTTTGCCATAATCGAGCAGCTGTATTTGGTAGACACTTTTATCCAAAGAGACTTACAAGTGAGGTATAACACTAAAGCTTCAGTGCAGTAGGAGACCTTAGTGTAAGTACTAAGTACTACATCTATTCAATAAGTGCAAGAAGATCAGGTAAAGTGAACCAAAAGTAAATAGTAAGTGCTAGTTAGGCATGTTAGGGTGTTAGGAGAGGAAGTGCTCTCAGATGAGATGTATCTTCAAGAGACAGTCCTGCTTGGTAGCTTGTCCCACCATCGGGTAACCACAACCAAGGGATGCAGGGATGGTAAAACCAGATGATATTCCTTGATAGAACGCAGTGGCCGAGAAGGAGCATGTTAGTTTGATGTTCAGCTCTGCTTGCCTATCTGTAAAAGTATATGCATTCCACCATACCCTGTGATTGGTTCCCATTTTGAAACTGGCAATGGCAAAGTTTTCTGCAAGGTCAAGAGGTCAGGTTTGCCTACTGTTTTGGTTTTTGACAGGGATATGCCACATCGGGTCACAATGGAAATGTCCTTTTGTAAAAATGGTCAATTCTAGACAGTGTGTTTATGTTTGACATGTGAGAAAATATAAGGAAAATGCCAGGCATTGATACTTGTGGTGGTAAAGGATGTGTGAGACAAATATATAAAATACACTGTACCTTTCCCAGACAAAGCTATTACTAGAAATATATGTCACACAGTGGGAAATTACTACCTAATTAGCAGAAACTGTCTGCCTTCTTTTTAGCTGTTAGATGAAGTTTAAATCTCAATTTAGAAGTGAATATGAATCAGTTTTTTTCTAAGTATAACACAAAACTATATCTTTTTTAGAATGTGGTTTATTTATCCTTATGTCGGAGGCAGTGATGCCTATTTTTTTAGCCTCAAACTATGATTTTAGTAACAGTAATTCCAAATTCATCTCTTGACAGACTGTATATTTGCACTCACTTGAATAAAAATGATGGACATTTCAGTCAAATTTTATTACAAGTCACAGTGGATTTTTCAAAAGAAAACCTTTCCACAGGCGCCTGTATTTAAGTCCTGATTGCCTTTATTCTGCATTCATTTGTGGTATGGTATGATTTGGTAGGTGTGAAATCGCATCTTCTCCCAGAAAGACAGACAGACTATATTTGTGAACCATGGAGCCATGTCTGCAGCTGTGCCATCCCCACATCCTGTGTCCCTGGGAGGGAGGCTCCCATTCTCCATGTGCATTTGCAGTAATGTCTACAAATACTGAAATTTATATCCCTGCTGGAAAACATGGTTTGCCATTTATAGTCATCCGCTAAAGGAAATAAGGCCCGTCTCTCTTGATGCAAGTCAAGGGACTGATGCAGACTCTATCAGATTTCTAAATACAGGCCCCAACAATAAATCCCAGCTTGATTGGGTTTGAATTGGGTTAGCTCACTTGAATGCTATCTGCTTAACCCACAGCTGGCCTGTCTGCTCCATGCAGGCATTGAACCTAAATCAGTCACTTAGTGCTATCACATGGAACAATGGTGGAGTGGAGAGAAGCACTCAAGCTAGGGCTAGAAGCCAGGCTAGTACCATAACGTAACACAACAGACCAGAACAGAGTAGTGTAGAGCAGACAGGCCCTCTTATGCTCTTTCCTTTTTGTGTCATAGCAATGATGCATCCTGAGAGCCATGGTGCATTGCATGAAATGGCATCACCCAAACTGAACACACAAACACCTTTTCAGGCTTTTGTCTAGTCTTGTCAACTGGATTTCACATGCTAATTAGCGTAGGATGGTGGCATGGTTAACATGAAATAAATATATATTTTCATGCAAGCCAAAATACATACACATGCACACCACACAGGGGAATTTAAGCAGGTGTGTTTAACCAAAGTGACTAAGGGCACAGAGGTTGAATCCGTGGTGTTTCTATCACCACTGTACAGTTCCTACAAATCCCAGATTGGGGCCTTAGCTGGGTCATAAGAACACATCCTGTGGCCAGTAGAGCAGGAAAGGATGTTTTCTTATTTGTGACTTTAAATGTTTATGATTTCGTGCTGGATCATGAGCAAGCAGGAAGAGATGGAGGATTTTCTGCACATTCCCACTTGTGTTTCCTCAAATAATAAATAAATGAAAGCAGCAAATCAACATACACACACTACCCAGACAAACTGATTGCTGCCTTGCCGAGGTGCTGATTACTGAAGGAATTCAGGTAATCAGTTTCCCCCCAGTGTGGACCAAGGCCAAGCTTGAGGCAAGGTGCAGTTGAGGCAATTTCACTAATGAGCAGCTGCATTACTGTTGAAGAGATGCCCCCCCCCACTCCCTCAACACATACACAAACCATCATTAAATGTTCTTGGCTAGTCCTCTTTCTCTCTGCACTCATGACTTTTTGACATTTTGACAATGAGGTCCTTCCAACTCATGGGGTTGTCTGGTTCACGCAATGACTCTAATTACAAGTGTGATAATGGCTCATTGTTTTCATGGTGAAGTGCCTACAGTTGTGTTTGGCTAACTGTTTATAAGTGTGGAGTGACAACCATACACTATTAAATTAAACATCTCCTTCAGCTTGACCCTGCCACTCATGGCCTGCTGAATGAGTCTGCCTTTTTCCTTTATCTGTATTTTTAGATGAATCATAATTACGCAGCCAATTAGAAGGTCACCTTGAGTTTTACAAACTATCTCTTCTTTGTGACTCTAACTGTGTGTGTGTGTGTGTGTGTGTGTGTGTGTGTGTGT